CCGTTGGGTAGCATGATGAGTTTGGGTTTGATCTTTCTAATGGATGTAAAATGAGAAGAAATATAGGTGATATGATCCTTGGTTCCAGTGTCTAGGATCATATTATTCAAAGAGTTACCTGGTGTATGAGTATCGGAGGTAAAGGTTTATATGCCCATTGCTGCTCTTCTCCATATCAAGGTCACTGTTGATATCATCACTGTTATCAATATAGTCACTGTTGTCACTCTTATCAATAAAAAAATCCTTAGGTTTGTTATCCAAGAACTTGTTCAAAAATACTGTAATGAAAGGAATATAAGAGTTTATCACTAGGTATTTGACCAAATAAGATCGTCCAATTCCTATAAAACTAAAATACCCCTAGGGGGTAGGGCTAAGCAAAGCGAAAAGGTTTCCCATAAGATAGGAAATGAAAACATTTAACTCCACTGACCCAAAAGTTTGTGTCTTAGGAAGGTTTTGGTTGTTTCGATGAGTGATTGAGTTATGATGGAGAAGTGGGTTCATGCAGTGGCTATGGTGAGGGAGTTTGAAGAACAGTGTGGTACCCAAATTGAAAAGTCGAGGCAAGTTACTGATGCTATGGAGGTTGAGATGCATGCAGGTCTTGAATCTGAAGGTGGTAGCAAGCTTAAGATGTTGACCACCTATGTTGACAATGACAATCTTCCAACTTGGGATGAGAAAGGACACTTTTATGCGTTGGGCCTTGGTGGCATGAAATTTCACTTCCTTCGTGTGTTGTTGTTGGGTGTAAAAAGGAAAGGTATTATCAAGATATATACTAAAAAACTCAAATTCTTCCTAAGTTGATGACTGGTTCTTCAAATGACTTATTTGATTTTATTGCAACATCTCTTGCAAAGTTTGTTATATCTGAACTAGGGACTATCATCCTCCCCCTGGTAGACAAAGAAAACTAGGTATTACCTGCTCTTTTCCAGTGAGTCAAACGTCAATAACATTTGAGACTCTAATAAAGTTGATTAAGGATTTCCATAGTGAGGATTTGGTTGGAGAAGATGTAGTAGATAAACAAAACAAGGCCATGGAGAAAAATGGCCTGGATATGCATGTTGCAGCTCTAGTTAATAATATCGTTAGAATAGTAATTAGAGGTAAATTCAGCAATCAGGATGTTGTTGTTGCAGTAATTATTGGTACAGGGACAATTGCAGCATGTGTAGAGCATGCACATGCAATTCCAAAATGGCATGGTCTTCTACCAAAATCCAGAGAGATGGTTATAATCATGAAGTGGGGTAATTTCTATTCATCCGATCTTTCTTTAATAGAAAATGATCTAGCCAAAGATGCGGAGAGCTTAAACCCTAGAGAACAGAATTTTGAGTAGATAATTTCTGGTATGTATTTGGGGGGAAATTGAGGCAGAAAAATTTAAATATTGCTTTTTTAATAAATAATTACGCAAATATAGTCGTTTTGAAACTATTTACGCAAGTATAGCAGTCAAACACGCCCACATGGGACGTGACCCAGTGTGAGACACGCCCATGTGGGGCGTGACCTAAGAGAGAGACACGCCCACATTGGGCGTGACCAGGAGAGAAACACGCCCAACAGGGGCATGACCTCCCTGGTCTACAAAACTGTTAATGGCTTTCATGTATTGTATTTATGGAAATATTACAATATTCCCTTTATTTTTTTACTTTGCAAGTATAGTAAATGAGTTTTGTCTCGGTTCTCAAAAAAATTTAAATAAAAAGTACTTTCAGTAAAAAAAAGTTGTAGCCTTTATGAGTACGGGGAAAAGTTGGGTAGGAATGGTTAAGATTGGCAACCATCATTAATGGCACTAGCAATGTCCTCTGCGACGTCCAACAACTCACTGCGACTTCCAACGCCTGATGCTATAGGTTAGGGGGTAGTGGTGTGACACAGAGGAACTTGCATGCAGTGCAGAGAAGAGATGAATGTTGTTAAGAATAATAAAACATGTTGTTTGTCTTTATATTAAGGGTTTAGACGCCCATGTTGGGCGTGTCTCTCTCCTGGTCACGCCTCATGTGGCGTGTCTCTCTCTTAGGTCACGCCCCACATGGGCGTGTCTCTCTCTACTGGATCACGCCCCATGTGGGCGTCTCTCTCCTGGTCACGCCCCATGTGGGTGTCTCTCTCTCTTAGGTCACGCCTCATATGGGCGTGTCTCTCCCTACTGGGTCATGCCCCATGTGGGCGTGTTTGACTGATATACCTGCGTAAATAGTTTCAAAATGACTACATTTACATAATTATTTATTAAAAGAATAATATTTAAATTTTTTTGCCAGGAAATTGAAAGGAGAGTGTTATTGAAGCTAGCTGAAGAAGCTGACTTTTTTGGTGACATTATTCAACAGTTAGGCTCGTACTGGGCTTGGCTTGGGCTTGGGCTTTTCGAGGCAAAGCTTGGCCCAACCCAACACACTTTCACCCCTACTAGTGACTTCACTAGTAACTCACAAAAGTTGTTGTATGGCAAAACTGATATCATGACTCGTAGTAGTTAAGTAGATAAAACGTCCAACCAATCTTCTATTACCCGAAGAATCATCATGTAGAAGACCTTTTTCACTCTAGAGTGTGAGAGCAGGGTCAAGAGGTGTAAAGGCAGCTTTGGCTGCAAGAAGACCCGCATCAGCTAAAAGTTCAAGGGTATACTTTTTCTAATTAAGTAACATTCCTTTTTTTAACCTTGCAATTTCAAGCCCAAGAAAACATCGAAGATAGCCCAAATCCTTAATGTTAAACTGATCATCAAGGAAGCATTTTACACTCTTGATCTCTTTAAAATTATCACCAGCAAGCACCATATCATCGATATATACTAGAATTGCAGTGAAACTAGCACTGTTGCTATGAACAAAAAAGGGAATAATCTCCCTCTGATTGAGAATAACCAAAGGTAACAAGAGTTGAAGTGTGCTTGGCATTCCACTAGCGACTAGCTTGTTTGAAGCCATATAGGGACTTTTGTAGACAACAAACATGGTTTGGTTTGGAACATGGGAGGCCAGGGGAAGAGACATGTATACTTCCTCTGATAAATCTTCATGTAAAAAGGCGTTGTTTACATCAAGTTGTTCATATTTTTATAAATATCATCACATAAATTCAGTTCAACCATGTTAATCACTGGCTTATTACTTCAAAATTGACCTATTAATTTAGTACCCGATCGAGTTGATGATTAGTCTAGGTTTAGTAACACTGATTTTATGATTGATTTTTCATTTATTTTCTAATCTTCTAAAGAAAAATTTATACAAAAATAATTATTTTGATGAATTGATCGATTTATTATTAAATTAAAAATTGATATTAAATTCATTCAATTAAATAGTAATTAAATACATTAACAATTTTACTTATTTAGTAATTTTTTAAATTAAAAATGTGAAATTTATTGGCAATAATAACTTTGCAAATGACTTTTTTTTTTCCATTTTTATATTGTCAAAAAAGTAAATTGCGACTTTTCAAAATTCCTATAAACTTATAAATATTAAATTTATTATTAATAATAATTAATATTCGACTGATTTTTATTTTTTCTAATTTTTCAAAAAAAATCATATGCAAATAATGATTTTAATAAGTTGAAAAAATGAAATTATTATTTTGACATTAAATTAATTGGGTCAAATTAAAATTAAAGAGGAAATAATATTTATATGTATAGTAATTTTTTGAAATCCATACAAATTGAAAAATATCAATAAAAATTTAATGTTTGATATTATTTTAATTTTCAAAAAAATAATCAAGATTTTTAAAATTCTTGCAAATTGAAAAATATCAAATTTATTGTTAATAATTATAATTTTAATGATTAATTTCTTTTCAATTTGTCCAAAAAAATTCATGTATAAATAATTATTTTAATAAATTGACCAAATTGATATTTTTTTAAAATTAGATTAGAATTTGACATTAAATTTATAGAGTCTTATAATAATTAAGAACTAATTGCAATTCTTTCAAATTCAAAAATATTAAAAAAATTTGTTAATAACGACAATTTAATTATTAAATTAGAAATTTTCTTAAATTTAATAACTTAAATCATATTTTCAACCATATATAATTCTTATTTACACGTAATTCTTTGGAATCCATAAAATTTAAAAATGTTACTTTTCTTATTAGTAACGATAATTTAAAAATTGTGAATAAATTTAAATTTTTATAATTTATGTAAATTTTAAATTATCACCACATAAATAAGATATATTTATATTATTAATCACCATTTAATATAGTCAAATTGATTCTGACTTTTAATTTAATAATAATATAATAATATTGATTTATTACGAGTTATATCAAATGAAAAGATTTGATTAATAAATAAATAAATAATGGCTTTAATGTTTCTAAAGTGAATATGGATAAATTATTTACATTTGCTCTCAAAACGACGTCATTTTAGGTTAAAAATTTATAATAAAAAAGACTATTGTAATTCTAAAATTTACAAAAATACTTTAATTTTTGCCTTGTAACGACATCGTTTTGAGTTCAATGTAGATAAATTATCTAGATTGACTATAGAAAAAATAAACCCATAAATAAAATTTAAGATGGAGCATCAAGATTCTACCAACTGACAAAATCAATTCTGCTCGTGGATCAACGAAATTATAAATTTGAAAAAACGTAGCACATTAGCGGGGAATACAAAGCATATATATACATCCACGGAATGAAATTTTAGGTATTTAAAAAAAGTACATGTCATTTTAAATGATATAAAATGTGTAAATAGATGGAGAAGAGAGAATGGTCAAAAAATAAATAAAATAAGCTTACCAAAAAAATAAATAAAATAAAAGTATAAATCATATTATTTGTGAAAATAAAATAAAACAAGTTCTGTCGTTTAACATAACAACACTTTTTCCGTTTAAAAAATAATAATAACTAAAAAAACATATTCATTTATTGCAAGGGTTGTGCCTGTTGGAGTGGTTCGCATGTTGTGGGTGCAACTTTGTCCAACAAATGGCAGGTGAGTTGTACAACTAGGTAAATGACAATGTACACTTCAACTACTAAACCGAACTCTGACCATAAAACACAGGCTCCGATCACAATCCCAACAGGCACAGAGACAGGGCCCACCCTCTTCACCACCGTAGATACCATTCATGTCAGTATCCTCTTCCTTCCCCCCGAAGAAATTGTTATTGCTCTTTAATTTAAGGATTTCTCATTCTGTGGTCTTCTTCATCTACAGTTTCTTAAATTAAAACTGGTGCAGGCCAATACCGTTGTGTATTATTATTGTGCACAACACACACACTCACACACACAAAAACACTCTGTTTCCCTTATTACAATTCATCAAAACCCCATATCCCTTGTTGTGAAGCTATAATTACCTGTTCCTTTATCATGGCTGTTGAGTTACATGCTTGGGACACTTGGCTTCCTTCTAAGTTTCTCCCCAACGAGGACGTCGATGATATTGTCTCAGAGACACAAGATAACGACAACAACAACAACAACAACAGTTCAGCTTTAAAGCCACCAGTTCAGGGGAACGACAAGGAGGACGATTTCATCGACGAGTTAACTCACCGTATGGCTCACTTCATGCTTCAAGATGACGACACATTCGATTTCTCAGACATTATCTCTCAGACTCACAACTTGGAATTGGTACTATTTTTGTTTATCTTTTCCTACTCTTGTTTAATTTCGTGTTAATACAATATCCATTTTGGCCTTTTATTCTTGTATTCAATACCATGGTTTCTAGTACTTAAAAAAATCTCCTTTTTCTTCTTTCTCATGAAGTCCTGGGACTTAATCGGTTCACCCCAGTCAACTGACTCAACTCTGTGGTCACCTATGGGTTCAAACCAGGGGAGTCCCGAAGGGTCCTCTCAGGAACCATCTTCTCCAGCTACACCTGAGAAGGGCATGATTGGAATGTTTGAGAAGATGAACCTTGACGAAAGAGGAAATTCTAAACTCTGCTCCAATATTGAACTCTGCTCATACCAAACTCTCATTCAGGAACAAATTCGATCAATTGAAGTAAGATACTATAACACTAACATCCTGTCTCTCTCTATTGTTATTATTTTTTGTGTGTGGCTAAGTTTAACTTTTTTGTTGTTACCCTTTTCTTGTATTAGCTTTCTCGGCTTAACCAAGATCATGTTCTGTCTCCGAAAAGTCAAGGCCAGCCAAAAAAACAGATTCAGCAAATTCACAAGAAAGGTAAAGGGGGTGGTAATGGACGGAGGACTCGTGAACCACAGCAGCAAACCGGTTCAGGCATGCGGGCTGTTTTCCTTGATGGACCCGGTTCAAGAGGTGGGACCGGGGTTTTCTTGCCTAGTGGGGGAACCAGTGCCCCGTACAAATCAACCAACAAGCCAGGTAACGTGGATATAGTGTGATCGATTCGGTTCGGTTGCTTTAAGATTCTGAATCTTTTCCTACAGTTGTGTTTGTTCCCTAGCTGTTTAGTGAAAATGGAATGTCAACTACAACTATCCCACTTTTTTATATTTGAATCTGTTTTTCACACTTTAATGATTTTGTTGTGTTCGACCTTGTGTCCTCATTCCATTCAAATATTCTTCAGTCTCAACCAAAAAAAATAAAACAAAATCCCGTAGTCTCAAAAATCCGATTTTGCTTGTGAATGGTGTGTGGTGACCAAATCTTACCTAAGGAATTGAACTGGAATCTTCTCTAATCTATTTATCATATGCTTTTAGCATAGGAGTTATATACCCTTACAAAAAATATTAAATAAAGCAGTCAAAAATTTAGTGACCAAATTGGGAGATTCTTCATGCTGAGTGATTCCCCAAATAATTAGTACTTTACTGCAAAAAAAATATCAGTTGGTTGCACATGAGAATTGATTTTTATTATGTACGATGTGGTCAGGTAAAGGTTGTTCTACTGTTCTTATACCAGCAAGAGTGGTACAGGCTTTGCAACTCCACTTTGAACAAATGGCTGCCAAGTCTGGACCCAAAACTGGTGGCTTCCCCGCTCTCAATGGTACCTAATCATCAACAACTTTGTTTTCTTCTTCTTAATGCTATTTGCTTTAATAGTTCCGTGAACGCCTGATATTGACGTCTCATGTTACATAAGATACATATATCTTATGTTATATACTCATAGAATTTTGTGTCAATTTTTTCGTTTCTTTTTTCTTTTTTTTTTTAAATTGTGAACCCTATATATTTGTATCACTTACATGAGAGTATTATCTCACGTAACATGAAATTAATAAACCCCAATATTTATTAGGTACTATATCACGTAACATGAAATTAGTAAACCCCAATATTTATTAGGTATATCATTATGAGTTATATTTATCTGTTGTAGGAAAATGATTCTCTCATGTTGTAAAAATAGAATTACAAGTGAGACTCATATGTAAGAGGAGAGAGAGAAAATAGATGTAGAACTAACTTTCACTTTGTGTGTATAGGAAGCTTGTTTATCTTATGCAACATAAATAAATATAACCCTATCATTATTAGTTTTCAATTGTGTGATTACTTTGTTTTGTTGAGTGAATATTAATTTTAATAAATACTATTACGATTTACAGATGTTCTAGTGAGTAACAGTGATGGCATGTATTCACTTCAGAAGCGCAAATCACAGAAAGCGCCAAAAAATATCCAGAGTGAGATGATTCTGCCTCAAGAGTGGACCTATTAAACCCGAAGTGAATTGAACTCCAGAGGCACATGCATTTGCAACTTGTCCTATTTTGTACACACATACACGCGTAATAATAATAAACTTTTTTGGCAGTTTTTGTCCAAACTGAAGAAAGAAAAGGACGAAGTGGAATAATAAACCAGAAAAGGAACTCCCCTGCATCCGATTGGATCAATATACAGAGGGAATCTTTTTAGACTCAGTTCAGTGTCAATACTAGTGATTTAATAATATGTCTTGCTTTGTATTTTGCTTCTCCCTTAAGTTTGGTTTGGGGGTATACGTATAAGTTTGCGTACTCGTGACTCATGAGTAGTGACAGAGGAATAAAAAATAAAATAAAATCTAGCAGAATCTCTTTGAATGGCTAAGGTAGAGTGTTGAATCTAAACGGAGGATGTCTTTTAAAATCCTTTGTAATAATTCAGCTTAAGTTATGGGCTTCTGTCAGATTTTCTTGTCCCGGTTTTTGTTTCCTCTTCCTCGGTTATATTTCTTTACCAATTATGCGTATGTTTCCGTAGCACTCCTGAAATATAAAAGATAAGCAAAATATCTGTTACACTTCCTTTATTTGATATTACTTAAATTAAAAAGAATTTATTATGCATTTCTATCGTTTGGTATTATTTAATAGAAAAGGGGAAAAATTCCCTCTCTCTCGATCCCTTGCTATTTTTTTCTTTTATTTTTTTCATCCTATTTAAGAATACCAAACAAAACCTAGGACTAATGTGAATGTGATAAAGATGAGATCAAATTCAAAACAAGTTATCGCGGGTTGTCGCTAAGGTCATCACTTACAAGGATATTACGAGGCTGTAGGATTGTGCGTTGAATCATCCGATGAAGCTATAATTAATGAGGCTGTTATGATAAGATTATGCGCTAAGTCATCTGGTGAAGCCTGTGTTGCACCGACACGAGATACGACACGAAACTTCGACACGTTAATTCTAAAAAATACTAAATTTTGACACGTTAAGACACATTTTGATATTAAATACTATTTTTAATTTATGTAATGTATATTATATGGGAAAAATGTTTCCGCAGTTAATGCAGAGAAGTTATCTGCATTTATTCTCAAAACGACGTCGTTTTAGTATTGAAATCTTAAAAAATTATAAATATAAAGACTATTATAACCCTAAAATAAATTAAAATTACAAAAACACCATGATTTCCGTCCCAAAACGACGTCGTATTAGCTTACTGCAGATAACTTATCTGCAGTAACTGCAGAAAAAGCGAACTCATATTATATTTAATATTCAATAATTTAACAAAAGAATGAATCTAAACTTATAATACCCATCAATTTTGCAAAGAAACATAAGATATCCTAAATATTTATATTAAACTCAATAAAATGGTAATCATAATCGAACGAATCTAATACTTGGAACTAATGTAATCTTTGAACTTTTTTTGAGTCTCTGCAACGCGTGTTGGAGTGTCAGGTAGTGTCAAACACGACACATCAAGTATTTTGAAGTGTGTATCATAGGATGAAGCTGTAATTAATGAGACTGTTATAATAGGATTATGATTGTTTGTATTTCAAATTAAAATTGTAGATAAGTCTTCTATTTTTACCTTTTGTAATATTTACTTCTTCTATATATGAAGTTCTTTTGTACAGTGAAAGAAGAATATAGCAAAATACCATTTCTATCATGGCAAAATTACTAATGGGGTACCGCGTACCAGAGACTGATCTGGGATCATTACTAATGAAAGGTGCATGTGTATCAACAAAATGACATTTATAATCCAGCAAAGAGACAAGTGGCTTTCAAATACGGGTCGGACGCTACAAAATATTTGCAGAAAGTAGAGAGGGACTCACATTGTCAACGAGATCATGAGCCATTGTAGAAGACGTACATTAAAGGACTCCCTGTGTCGTCTGATATTTGAGCTTTAATGTTCGGAGCAATTGTCAACAGATATTGGAGCATCTGCGTCCGGAGCTTTCTCGCTAGCTCCCCCCATCATCTAATATTCTAGCATATGCATTTGGACCAATCGTACAATCATTTTGTGGAGCAACAACTGCTCCTCTATCCAAATCTAAGAGTGCTTCTCAATAATTTTTATCAACCACTCCTGCATCATTCATAATAATAGTGGGGAGTGAAGTTGGACTATGATTATTTGAGGTAGCTAATAGAGTTATGGAATGGAAAGACACTTTCATGAAATACAACATCCCGTGATATGAACATTTCATGTGTATCAAGGTCAAGCACTTTCCAACCTTTAGTGTGGGGAGGTTATCCCATAAAAATGCACCGTCGTGATCTGGCACAGAATTTATCGAGTTGGATTTCCATTTTGTACTTGAACATCTCCAAGCGCAAACCATCTCCACCTTTTGTGTTTGCTCCCACATGCAATTGGTAGATGTTTTTACTAAAGCTTTGGACAAAGGGACCATTTCTTTCATTAGTCAGCAAGTTGGGCATTTCAAATTTACATGCTTCAATTTGAGGGAAAGTGATAAAGATGAGATCAAATTCAAAGCAAGTTGTCACTCAGACATCAGTTACAAGGATATGATGATGCTATAGGATTATGTGTTGAGTCATATGATAAAACTGTAATTAATGAGGCTGTTATGATGGAATTATACATTGAGTCATCTGATGAAGTTGTAATTAATGAGGCTGTTATAATAGGATATTAGGATTGTTTGTATTTCAAATTCAAATTATAGATAAATCTTTTATTTTTATCTTTTGTAATATTTACGTCTATATATAATATTCCTTTGTACAGTGAAAGAAAAATATAGCAAAATACCATTTCTATTAGAATGAATGGGGGACCAAGTGTCAACATACCACGTCTTTTGGAAAATATAATTCAATATGTCACTTTGTGAGAATTATTGACCCGAATACCATACTTTTTAGTCACACTGACCACATCAGTCCGTTTTAAATTTTACTTTTAATTTCATCCCTCTCCTCCCCTACTATATAAGTGATATTAAATGAACAATATTATTTGATAAATAAATTGAAAATCTGTGCGTGCATATGGGGTGTGACGTGTTAGATTCTTTGGTTTTCAGGTCCCTTTTTTTTTTTTTTTGGAGGTTCAGGTCCGTTCATTTAGTCAAACTCCTCTTATGTCTGTAATATTTCTTATTTTCACATATCATGGGGTGTGTGTGCTTTGCCATCACTGCATTCTTAGCGCTGGAATTTTTTAATATGTTTCAGAATTATCATAATTCTTTCACTTAAAAATTGATATTTGTTTTAAAAAAAATTTCTCTATTCTCTCTCCTCAACTTTTTCTCTCTTTCTCTCATTCTATTCCCATCCAATTTTTTTAGTCCCAGACCACGGTAATTTCGCTCCTTAGCGCCATCTGGTGTCATTTATCAACCCACTGTAGTCATGTGATTTGACAATTGCAAGCATTTTTTTTTTTAAAATTGTTTTTTGGTTACCTTTGTTACTTGTAAGCATGTTTCAATTTAGCACAATTATCGATTTGTTTTTATATTTTTTATTTATTTTTGTGATCTCAAATACATATTTGACTGGAGAAGCATAAAATAAATTTTTTTCCTCATTTTATATTCAGAATAAATTATAGAATTGTAAATTATTTGCCTATCATTTGAACCAAAATCATTTAATTGTGAAAAAGTAAAATATCAAACACGTAATAAATCAATCATAACAATACGAGAGTCATGTTATGAACTCTCGATTCATTAAAATTATTATATGTATACGTTCTCGCCTATAAAAAACAATATTTTCATCATTGGCTGCAACCAAGCTCAACCTAATTGTACCAAAATCATTTACTTGTTATAAGCATGACATCAATCGTGCAAGTCAATTGATAACAGCACGAGGCACGTCGTGAACTCTCAATTCATTGAATTTACTATATATATATATATATATATATATATATATATATATATAGATGTTGTCCTCTTAAAAAACTCAATAGTTTCATTGCCGATTGCAATATTGCTTGACCACGCAAGTAAGTTTATAGTTTCTTCCTTTGTGATTTATTGTATTCGTCGGCTTGTGTGATGTGGCAGTTATTATTATTATTATTATTATTATTATTATATTTGGGGGGTATAATGTTACAAAAAAAAGGCCAATGATTAGATTCAATAGTTCTATTTTGAGTCTTTGACACCAAATATGTTATTTTCATTTTAATATTACATGATAGATATCTTTAAGAAAATATTTAACCAAAAAATACGGGCTACTTACGAGATTTCTAATTTTCATCCAACTAGGTAGGTCTTCTGCTTATTGGGCCTCGAGTCCAATCCAAATTGAATCTGTTGTGTATATGCATATTCTGCATGTAACCTCCTACCCAATAGGAAAAGACCATTAGCCTAAAACAAAGAGTCCATGTATATTAGGCTTCTATTAAAAACAGCGCAATCAAACATTGAATCCTGACAGCAAATTCTTTTTTTTAATCCGAACTGTAAAATTTGGAACAAAACAATTGAGAGAAGGACGGTGACGGTTGGAGTTAAGAAATGATTCGATAATTTAGTTGTTATTTGGTTTTTAGACGAGAAATTTTTTTTTTACAATAAAAATACAATTACTAGGAGTATGGTGGAAAAGTGAGTTTGTTTGGAAAGTTAAAAAAAAATTATTTGGTACGCTGAAATATTATCAAAAAAATTGAGTTAAATTTTCTGAGTCTATATTTGATTGAAGGTAAAATATTAATGGGAGAATGTGTTAAAAAGAATAAATACCCCTTTTGTACTTTTTGAATGTGAATAACCATTATATAAAGTATGAATAAGTGTGTCTTCAACATTGGTTGCAACATCAAAGAACATTGTTATTTTCTTTATCTTCGTGCCATTTAGCCGGTTAACTACAAATACCATCTTGGAAGTGGTATTTGAGAACAGTGCTTTTTATCCTATTTTACAAATATTTTTCAAAGGCTAGGCAAATAAGTTTACTGAAAAAATATTTAAATACCTTGTACCAAACATGAACTACACAGAATATCAAAGTGAGATGCATGGATATTTTTTTGTAAACTCTTCTACCAAAGAGTACCTAATACTCGATCCACTTGGTTATTACTCAATCAATGCTAGAACTAGGGTTGGCAAAACGGGCCAACCCGGCTCGACCCGGCCCAACCCACATTCAACCCGTAAAAAACGGGTCGGGTTAGGGTTGGCTCGAAAAAATAAACGAGCCAGAAAACTCAACCCAGCCCGACCCGAGCCGGGTTAGGGTTGGCTCGCGGGTTGGCTCGATAATCAGCTCGTGGGTTGGATCGGAAAAAAGCTCACGGGTTGGCTCAAAAAAAGCTCGCGGATTAGCTCGAAATGATGGCAGTGGGTTGGCTCGCGGGTTGGCTCGCGAGTTGGCTCAAAAAAATTGATTTTTGTGGAA